GTATTTGCCCTATCCTTGTCATCACCTTTTCTCATGCTGTATTACCTTTTCTTCAGCATCCATTGGGATCCTTAGCACTGATTTCTCTCTCTCTTATTTGAAGGCCCAATTTCTCCAAATCCCTCCAATTTCCCACTCACATTATAGTACTTTTCAGTCTATTTAGTTCAGCCCCTGTTGCCTCTCCATACTTTGATGTATGCTTTAGTACCCTTTCCATTGAAAGTAAGTCTCTACCTACTACATGTATATCATCCATGTATAGTACGCGTTTTACCTCTCTCCCACCCAGTATCTTTACTTTGCTTATGACATTGTCGTCTTCTCCTTTCTGCTAATGGTTCTATGCTGCACACAAATAGTAGTGGTGGCAGGATGTAACCTTGTCGCACCCCATATGGATTTTAAAAACTCTGTTTCGATGCCCATTAATTTGGACTTGACTCTCCACTTTTCTGTACAGTTACCTTAAGCGACATACAGATTTATTTCTCTCTCTCAGCTTTTTTGTTCTTTTTCCCATGGTTCTTCAACCTTCCTTCCTGAAGAATTCTCCCATCCTCTTCTTCACCATCATCCACCATTCTTTGGTACTCTTAAAATATTACTCCCGTGTTTTCCACCCCTTGTACCGTCTCCTGTACACTTGACATATCTCCTCATGTTACTGCAGTCTCGCATTTAACTTCCACACTCCCCTTCCTCTTATGGGGCTCTTACCAAGAATTGATTTTTCCTTCAGCATCCAGTGATCACTAAGGCTGCTTGCAGATGTTAAAAAAACAAACCAAAATGGCACTTTACTTTAAACTCCACGCACTCTCGCGCTGAGCCCAGTATATGACTAGAAGAGGCAGCGTGTTAGTTGGACCTGGCTCACCCAACATCTGTAGAGATAGGGTGTTTTAGTAGGGCTTTTTTGGCATTTTTATGTAATAGCTGATTGAATCAGCTTTAGAGAAAAGCACCAAAAAGCCCCACTGAAGTGCCCAATCTATACAGATGCTGTGGAGTCGGATTGAATTAATGTACTGCTTCATCCTATAAAACACGCTTTTTTTCCCTTTTTCTTTATATTTTTTTTGAGATCTGCAAGCAGCATAAATACAATAATTATGTTTTTTTCTTCCTTATCTCTATTTCTTTTGATATAAGCATAAGGTCAGTTCTTGATTGTTTCTTTCCATTGGGGTCTGTTCTAGTGAAGACTGTCTCCCCTGCCCACATATCTCTTAGTGACTCTTCTTTTATTATATTTGTTAACAATCTGGATGAACTGTGTAAAGTTCCACCTCTTCCTCCCCCTGTTCTGTCATCAGCTTCTATTATGCAACTGAAGTACCCTGCTTTATCTGCAGTTTCTCTCTGACCATATAAAATGCTAGCTCTCTAAGCAAAGTCTTCCTCCCCTCCTGCTTTGTTGGTGCATATAAGTTGAACACTTCTAATTATGCTTCCTTGACTGATGGTATCATTTGCTCCAGTCTGCCACTCATAATGTCTTCCACTTGCTTTGGTTTCACCTCCGTATTCTTGAATTGTATTGCCACTCCAGCCATTTTGTTTTCATTTGTCACTGACCATCAGGACACTCCCCATCTTCATCATTTCTTAAAGCGCTTATAATCCTATTTCCCCAGTATCCCACATTCTTGTAGACAGATTATTTCATCCTTTACTAGTTTTAACATTGATCTGATCTGTTCCCATCTTTTCCTTGTTAATATGTTCTTGATATTAATAGACGCTGTAACCAGTGCCATTGCGCTTGTTCAAAAAGTGTACACCTGGCCCTTTAAGGTTCACTAGTGCAGCTGCCCACCAGGGATGACTCCTTCACCTAACCCACTCTCATACCTGTGACTTTTGCTAGCTGCCTGACTATCTTTGCATTCAGGTAGGCTTCTACTTTCCTGCTTCCCACCTCCAGCTCACCACTTTGGGCTGGAGCCCAGGGTAGTTAATGGCAGGAAGAGGCCCTCTGGCTCTGACTCCAATGCATTCCCCTCATTTTCAGGTATCTCTTTTCCTGATTTTTTTCTTCTCTGTTTTCTTCCTTTTCCCTACCCGATTCCTGGGCTCTTTTATTTGTTCCACTTCCATTTATTCTGCTTGTTTGATATAATTTCTGTCTGGGCGCTCTCCCACTCCTCTGCCCTCTTCTTCTTCTGTTTCTCCTTGAGCCACCTCAGTTACAGATACTACACTCCCTTCTTTCTCCTTTCCATTCTCCTGTGGGGTCATGCCCACCATTTCTACTTCACTGTCACCCATCTCTTCTCTCCTGCTATCATTTTCTGATTCACACTGCTCTGTAAGGGGTCTGACCTTGCTTGCTTAGGCTTTGGGACCCCTGAAGACTACGTGTCCCCCTGAGCTAGTGCATTTTAAGCACTTTGCAGCTCTGTGCTCTTTCCATTCACGTCTGTAACACACCATGAGGGGACAGTGTATGGACAGGTTCTTCTTGTTACATTTGCTGCATTGCTTTGGTTGTCCAAGGTATATTATAAAATCTTGGGGCCCCAGCTGGATCATAGATGGTAGGTGCTGCACTCGTTTGCTCCCAACACAACTTATGACCTCCATGACCTCACACAAATACCATATTTGTCCTGCACCTTCTCTACATGATTAGTCTTTGCACATACAATTCCATTCATCTTTCTATGTTTTCTGCCTGTAATAAATTTGTACATATTTTTACTACAATCATTCATTTCTTTGACTTTTCTCCTGCTATAAACTTTATCCCTCTTAATTCCTCCCTTCCACATTCTTCTGCATGTTTGTTCCAAAAATTTTCATGCCTTCTCTGTTCCAGTAAGTAAACTCCCAAGTCTTTGTATTTTGGAAAGCAGTCAGGCTGGTGAGATGCTCTGCCTGCACCTCCAGTATCTCAAGCAGTACCTTTTTTCTTAAGTCATACCTGTTCGTCATCAATCCTGTCTGCATTCTGTCACTAGTTGATATTTCTTTTATCCTTCGTCTCTGATCCTCCCTGACATCTCTCGGTGGATCTTCTGTGTCTTCCTGTTGTGCCATTCCCAGTGGGCTGGCAGTCCATTGTGCTCCTGCTGCTCTCTGCCTCTTGTCCAGTGTACCTTCTCCTGCTGTTCCCACTCTATCTTCCATTGTCCTCTGCTCCTGTGTTCCCCCTGCCCTTGTTCCACTCCGTGTCACTGTCTTTGCTGTTGCTTCTGTTGTGGTTGCTACTTCTGCTGTTGTTCCCATCTTCGTCATCTTTCTTTTCTGCTTATCCAACTTTGTCTGATCTCTTTTGTTTACAGACTTTTCTGCTCTTTATTTCACTTTCCTTTTCCTGGTTACTTGCCACCACTCCCATTGTTTCGAGCTTTGGGTTTCCCTCCTCCACTCTTTATATCATGGGCGACTGGTGTCACCTTAGTCAGAGGGGGTATTTGTCCCCCAGCCACCGGTTAGCAAGTGGGGGGGGGGCCCTGTGGCCAATCTTGCCAACTGGCAGGGGGGGAGGTCTCCCTGCGGCAAACCTCACTGACCAGGAAGTGCCGCTTCCAGAAGTGGCCATAGTGCTACATCTGGCACTCCCACTCCCTGGCTGGTGCTCGCAGGGGGGACATTGGTGCTCCCACCTGCCCCCGTTGCCTAAGTGGGGAGTGCGGCCAGTCAGGGGGTGCACCAGTGCTCTCAGGGGGTGCATGTGCACCCCCGTGTAACCCCTGTGCATCACCACTGCCTTGCATCTCAATACTTCATCAATCCCTGTCTCTGCCCTTAAGGCATTGATCAGGTTTTCAGCTGATCACTTGATCTTAGTTCAAGAGGCTGAGAAAATCTTGATGGAAACAGGTCCCAAGGCCCATCTAAATAATATACAGTGCCCATTGCACTCAGTCTCCCTAGTGCCAACTCTTTGTCAGCTCATGGTGAACCACTAAATTGAATATATTTTGACTTCCTCTTCACCTCCACAGATGAGCAGTACCGTTCTTTCCCATTTCCACTGATTCTTGTTTCTTCACCAGCCTAAATGTCTAGCAAACATCACCTAACTTCTGTGTAAATGAGAGGCTTTGCCATCCCCGTCTCTTTGCCTATTGCATGTGATTGGTGTGCTGACCTCCATGACATGGAGCTGGACAATCCTGTGTCTCATCTGCATATAAATTTTTGGAGGGTCCCAGGACTTGTTACAGGAACATCTGGTTCCAGTCATGAATTGGAGCCTAATTAGCACATGGATTCTTTGTGGGGGGGTATCTGGAGTGTACACACATACTGAGCAGTGCTGGGCTCTGGCGTCACCAGGGCTTGAAATGCTGTAGGCTGCTGGAGCTCAGCCTAATCAACTATGTGATAAATCATGAGCCTTTTGGCTTTGGACTAATATAGATATTTTGTACTATGTTTAAGTAGGTTCAAAAGTGTGCTTATGAAGTACCTGTGCTGAAACTTGCAGAAAGTCAATGTATTTTGGTCCCTTGTGTTTAAAATTTGCCCCTCACTTGGATGTGCTCAGGGAGGGAACGGAGCCCAAGCAGAGTCTTACAGTAAGCGGGGGGAAATGGGCTGCAGGCAGAAGAAGTTGGGGTGGCAGAGGTCAAGGGAGCCACCGGGCATTTGTCACCTATGCCCAGCCACTGTTTTCCCTGCTGTAGCAGTGGGAGGGGGACAGATTCAAGACAAACCTCCAATAATTAGCTTCTGTACCTGATGATAAATTATAGCAAATTTATAAATTTTCCATATATAGAATCTAATTATTGGGGGGTCATCTAAAATTCAGGGTTCTCTTTGATTTGAGTAAATATGGTAGTATCGGGGGGAAGGTCTGCTGTTTGAAGAACCTATTGCACTCATTTCAGATACATGTGGGAATGAATTTATCTTAAGTGAATGCTGTCTTTTTAAATATTAGGCACGTTGCTTTATTATATTGACAGCTTTAGGACATTTGAGCCAGTATTTTGTTGCTGAAAAATTTATTCTGTTTCTCCTTTTTTGGTTTTGTTTTTAAGGGAAAGAAGCTGTTTCTGCACCATGGAAACTTCTACTGTGTGACCTTTGGTTTGGAAAGGTAGCTGTCTTTTCTCTTCCTTCTGATTATTTTTTTCACATTTTTGACTGTGTTTGTAGGCTGTTGACTCCCAATTTAAAATGTCATTTAATATTGCTGTGCTGTGTTATTGATATGAGTGGAATGTAGATTTTAGTCCAGAGCAAAGAGTGGTTGTGTATGAAGAATAAGAGCCAGTAAAGATGGAGATTGTTAGCTTTTTTGGCCAAGTGACTGCAGCATTAGGCTACATTAAGCTATCTCTAGCACCCCTGGGAGCTGTAAAATGGGGTGGGGTATGATGTCTCAGCTGCCCCTAGAGTACCTACAGTGTTCCAGCCTGTGCTCTTTTCAGTTTTTAATGTTCGTATCTGTAGCAACCTAATATTTTTGGAGTGTATCAGACCCATCTTATTCCCAGGTATAATCCTGCCTACAGCATACATGGCGACATTTTATGAAGCAACCAGGTAGCCTTATCTAAGTGCCCAGGTGTCCATGTGAATCCTACCCTGATCTCAGATGTCAGTTTTTCAGGAAAACAGCATCACTCCATGTTTCTGACCACCAGACACTCTGGCTAAATACAGACAGTCAAAAAGACCCAAGGCTGAATCAGTTCAGTTGTTGCAGGTTAGTTTAAGCTGCAGAGATTAAACTGAGAAACAACTGGACAGACATTCACTTTTGATTCAGGAAATGCAGCCACATAACTGCAGTGGCTCAGGCCAGAAGCCAGGGGGTGCTAGAGAACAGTTCTCTGGCACATAGCCAGCATGGTCTGGGTGTTCACTTCCTCTTCGTGCTGCCCGCCTCTGGGATTTGCAGTCCAGAATCACAACTGAAGGACTCTGCAGGGTTGCTCATCACTTTCTCGTCCTGCTTCCAGGTGCTTCTGGGATTTGTAGTCCGCAGTTGCAGCCAGCAGTAAGTTTTTAGCTGGGCAGAGCAGCTCTACTTCAGATGGAGAAGGGAAGTTTAACCCTCCTCCCTGGCCCCAGACCCAAGCTGGGGTTTGCTGGGGAGGGGGGCAGTCCCTGCTTCCCTCTTCTCCCACCCCTTCTCTGTTGGAGCAGACAGCACAACCCAGCCTAGGGCTGCAAAGCATGCTGGGGGATTGTGATTTCACTTGGACTAGGAATATCTGTCAGCTTCCCTGTGTAGAGAATCTCACCTGTACTAGAAGATGCTGTGCCCCACCAGCAGCCATACAAGTACCCATCATCCTGTTGGTTGTATGTCATCTAGAAACCATAGAGTGTCAGGGGCATGACTGGGGCATAGGCGATCAGGTGTTGACCCTAGTAGTGTTCAGTCCACGGGATTGGTCAATACTGGGGGTTGGTGCTGGGGGGTCAGGGAAGCAATGGTCCAGACTAGAGCCAAGGCAGCAGGAGCAGTCAGGTCAGGAGGCTGAGGTCTATAAGGGTCTGGGAAGTAGAGAGTCATCCTGGGTAGAACCACAGTCCAAGTGGGGTCAGGAACAGGAGACAGGGATCTAGACTGATGTGGCTAGCCAAGGGGGTCTGGAGCAGGCAGCTATAGCTGTACAGGCCCAGGACATGGGTAATTGCCAAACTACAAGCTAGGAGTCAGCTGTCAGAGAACAGGGGCCTGGAAGCAGAAGGGGTCAAGGAACCAATAAGGCCGTTTGGAAGCAGGAACGGGCAGGCAGGAACCAGGGTGAAATCAGGAAGTAGGACCCAGAAGACACAAGACACAGTGCAAACCAGCAGGACCAAGGAAATCAGAAACAGAGCCAGAAACTCAAGATTAGTTATCTGTCTTGCTGAGTACCCTGGTGGGCACTGAAAGAGCAGCTGCTTAAAAACAGACAGCCATGCCCAGCAGGCAGCTGGGGTCAGGTTGGGGTAGTTAGGCTGCTGATAATCAGGCCAACTCAGGTAACTGTGGCCAACTGGGGGCAATCTGGCTAGCATGCAGCCATGGTTTTTGACACAGATGGTTGGAGAGCAGGAAGTTGTACCTTTCTACTTCAGTATGGATACCTGACAAAGTGGAATCTTAGTTTAGGCTTTTGATTAAATGGGCACCTTCCAGCTCTCTGTGGCTTGCCAAACCTGTGTCTAATAGTCCCGGTGCAGATGGTGGAATTCCCTTCTAAGGATAACTCAGTTTGCTTGGTGCAAATGGACACCTTGATGTGTGTTTACAACAGTGCACATGCAAAGGATACCACCCCTGCTCCACATGCCAATAGAATGTACAACTTATTTGGTATAGAGAATGGTGAATAGTTTTGATGAAAGTGTGCATAGATATACATTTTATTGTTGTTGCCACATAAAAGTAAGTGTAATAGCACCATCCTGTAAAGCCCTGTTGGCATCTGATACCCAAGGTGTTTTCTTTGACTATCAAGGCTTCTTGCTCATAGTGGGAACTCTGCAGGAAGTCAACTCTAACATTTGCTTATATTCTTAAACAGGAAGGGGATGATTATATGCCTCCTTTCCACAAAGAAGCCCAGGGTGGTTTACCATAAAAGACAAAAAAATGATAGAAACAGTACATTTGGAAAACGTAAGATTGAAAGATGATAGGGTAAGGCTGTGGCTTCATTGTGCAGCCTTATCCTCAGCTTTTGTCATGGTAGGTACTGGAAAATAGAGTTCCTGCTTTGCTGGTTTCTTTTCCTTTTTGGTGTCCAGTCTAGCGTTGTGCTGTGCCAGGAGGATTACGAGGACTTTTGCACTCTGACCAATGTTCTGCCACTGTCGCTTTGTTTATTTTAAAATTCTTAAAATGTTTCCATAATGATTCGCTTCTGGATGCATGTATGGTTTGCTAAAACAATTAAAAAACAGTTAACCTATGTCAGCCAAAAACAGGTATTTCAGAAAGCAGAAAATATTGTAAATACCCACTGCCCTTCCTTACAGCACAAGTTTGAGAAAAAAGAGATGCGGTCAAATTCTTAATAGGTGTAAGTGATCTGACATTTCAGGACAGAATTCAGTAGTGATGTAACTATTAGTTTAATTTATTCATTTGTCATCATTTGGTGTAAGAGGATGAAACAGTATAATTTGCACCAGTTTGCCATTGAGTGGATGTCCTAATGTGTAATACAGGGGTGTCAAACTCATCAGGCCTGGCAGGCTGCGTGAGTGGCATGGGGCTGGTCTGCAGACTAGATTGGGCCCATAGATCACCCCTATGTGCTGGATCCATATCTCTGATGCTTCTGGTGTAATATATAAATGCTTTCGGAGGAAAAGTCTGGATAATAGTGGGAGAAACAACTACGCTATGCTTTCTTTCTACCATGCTGCAAATTGCTTTTCTGTTATCCTTTCTTTCTCTGCCTAAACTATTCATTTTGGCACACAGTACAGTATTTTACTACCCATTTTTAACTCGTTTAGCCTAATTGGTTAAAGATGTCAGCTTTGTCACACCTGCATTTGATTGCTGACCGTCACACATGTACCCTGAAAATCATCAGACTCTGGAATCTTTTGGAACAAAGTAAAAGCAAGTTCCAGCATTTCTGGATTTACACTGAGTATAGCAGAGCAGAAATTCCTAATGGTACCTCTACCAAAATTCCTAATGGTACCTCTCAGGTAGATAAATCCAGAGGTTTGTGAGCAGTGCACTTTAGTAGATGTCAGCTATTTCAAAACTGCATGAGGGTAGATTTCCAGGTAGCTAACCTGCTTAAAATGTAGGGCATTAAAAATCACATGGCGGGTGAGGTACATTTTTTTTTTTTTACTCCATTGTGCTTTTCCCAGCTGTATCTTTTTTGGAAATTATGTTGGTCAGTATGTCTTTCAAAACAGAGCATTTAGATTTATTGCATAGAAAAAATCCTGACAGCACATTCTAGTAGGGAGAAAACAGTACATACATTTATATGTACCTTCACTGACATGCCTGCCGGTAGAGTGGAGGCCTTCAAACTTGTCTCTTTGCATTGTAAGGAAATCTAAATACCACGGGGAGCCATATCAATTCCTCTCCTGCCAAGCTCAGGGCAGGAAAAAGGGTGAGATGTTCCATTACTACAGAAGACTAGAATTCCTCCCACAGACCAACTGCAGATGCTTCCTCAGCCTGACAAAGGGTATTTGTACCTGAAAGCTTGCAAAGAATTTTCCCAACTATTTGAGTTTGTCTAATGAAAGATATTAGATTTATCAAAACAACCTTGTTTGCCTATGTCTTTAGAGCAACACGGCTACAACCTATACCTCTCTCACTAGTTACTTGTGGAGTCTAGAGAGTAAATAGCCAGACCATTCACCCTCCTTTGTGGCCTGGGCTGGGAATGTGGAACAAAGGGCAAGACCCGGAGGGAGGAGAAGGGGCCACCACAGGAGTTATTTCTGAGGTCTAACAGTTGTACAGTCCGTGAATATTGCAACTTCCTCAGTGTTGGAAGTTTTGCCTGTTGTTGGGTGCTAAAGCACCAGGAATCCCTTTGGTGTGTACAGCAGCTTTGGCTGGTTACCCTTTGACAGAGGAGGTAGGATAGAACTGGACAGACAGCAACTCAGAGACTTTTTGGGTAGGCACATCAGCATTTTTTTCCTACACTATTGTGGGGGAAGGTATTAAAAAAAGTCTTTAGGATGAGGCCCATGTTTTTGTGGACATTCTAGTTAGAACATACCTAACCCTACCATTAGTTACACCTGGGTACCCTCATTGACTTCACTCAGCACCACGCACTAAATGCTGCCTACTGATGTGGAACAAAACCCAAAAAACAACACTTCAAGCTCAGTGTGCCCCCACACCAAGTGCAGCTCATGGCCAGAGAGGCACTGTGTTAGTTGGACCCAGCTTGCCTAACATATGTATAGATCAGGTGCTTCAGCAGTGCGCTTTGGTGCTTTTATCTAAGCCTTAGATAAAAATGTCAAAAAGCCATACTGAAGCACCCGATTACAGACGCCGGGGAGCCAGGTTGAACTAATGTGTTTCCTCTTCCGGTAAAATGGTGCTTTTTGTTTTTCTCTTTGTCAGTTTTTTCTTTAATCAGTTAGGCT